GGAAGAGAAGTAAATGATCTGCAAAAATGGGGAGTTAGTTGAGAAAATTTAGGGCTTAGAATGTATTCTTAGGATGATAATTCGAATGAACCCTTATACACCCTTTGAAAAACATGTTATTAAAGTATATGAGAAAATTTCAGGAGTTTGAAATTTTTCATAAAAAAATTCACGATCATCAAAAGAATATGAGACTAATCCGAGTTTAATTAGATAAAAAATTGATATTGGAAGAAAATATTAGGTTCAATCGTACATTAAGGTGGTTGAAAAATAACAAAAACTTCTCAAATAACATGAATGTGTTTTCGCCTCTTTTCATTATGATCCTATCTTGTAGCAATGATTATTATTTCAACACTTTAAGCCTAAGTGGACACTTAACCATAGGCGGGATGGCAAAACTGGGGAACAAGAGAAAATTCATAGCAAAATAGCCATTTTTCAGCCTGGCATGAGCACGCCCCATTCGGACGTGACCACAACTGAACTGGGTGTTACCATGCCAACGAGATCTTAACCCATTCAACCCTCATTATTTCTGTTATGTTCTTCTTCCCAACACTATGGGACACCTATGTCGTACCCAAGCTCACTGAGAAAAATCATAGGAAGCAGAAACTAACCAGAAAAAGCTCAAATCCGAAACCTTTCATGATCTTAGGCAAGATTTGCTCCTCATTTCACGATTTCATTGTGGGATTTTTCAAATTTTCAATCTAATAATTCTCCAATCCGCCCATCTATTCTTTCATATACAATGCTGCGTAGAATGTGAGTTAGAGGGATTATAATTTTTGATGTGGGGAGACTTGTTAGCCTATCAACCTTCAATATTTCTCTAATCTTACGGTGAAGAAAAAATTGATTCTTGAGAAGTTTTTTCAGGCACTTGGGGGTGAGATCCATATACAGTTGGTACATCGAGATTGGGAATAGTTATGTTTCACTATTGGCTCCACCATCGTTCTGCCAGTCCGCAAATTTTATGCTATCGTAATAATAAAATAATTCAATGATACAAATGATGGGAGTACAATTTAAACTAAGATATGGACTATTATCTAAAATATTGACCGTTATTTTAATAAACATATTAACACTATGAATTCGATCATGCAAAAAGTAATTTGATGGGAGTACATATACGTTAAATCAAACATTTAAAATATAAGTAAATGCATAAAAGTGATAATTAAAGGATCATACCGTCTCCAAATTTGGCAAGCTTTATAGTCAAATTGAGGGGCTTGATGAGAGAAACAAACAAGTCCAAGATTAATAAATTTTGGTATTATTATGCATTTAAATAATTAAAGAAAATTCAAAAATGAAAGGAATTAATATGTATTGTTCGATAAAAGATTTGACATTTTAGAGAAAAAACGAAAATATCACTTTCAAGAAATATAAATAGAATCATATTCTCCAAATGAAAGAAAAATATAGAAGTGTGAATTAAATCTACACTCGTAGAAAGAATTGGAAGTCAAAGTCCACGAGTAATTTTAGACTGTCACTAACATTTGTTATAGCCCAATTAATATTGTAAGATTGTTGGTGCCTAATAATATCTCCAAATTTTTGTTCTGTAACCAGTGTTAACCGATGTTATCACCTAAAAACCCCAATTATAATAACTGATGAAGAAAAAATATACATCATTACGTAATCATATCTTTTCAATTTTAGAAGAGTAAATCTCTCTAGCTTTAAACATAGTGGATTGTTTTCCTTGGGTAGACCCTATGGGTTTTCTCTTTTTCTGTTTTTTCTGTGTAAAAAAGTTCTCTTATTATATTTGTTTACGTGTGAGTTGGATATTTATAACATGCTAAAGTATAAGTTTGCCATTAAGCATTATCTAGCTCATAAAAATTATAAATGAATTATATTAAAGTTGATTTTTAGGTTGTAAAATAAATTCAGAAATTTAATTTTTATTTATTTGTTTGATTTTGGGCATTATATGAAGATGGAGTGAGCTCAAAGTACATCGAAGATAACAAATGCTTGATCAGTGGGGTTGCAGGATCGGTGAAGCCAGCTGGGTTTCATAAGTTTGTGATCATTTTTCATAGCTAATGCAGATGTGGGGATGATGGAGAAGATGAATGTGAGGATGATGATGCCAAGATATACTCGGAAGCAGATCGCGCGAGTCATAAATATGAGGGTTGACTTGAGTTCCAAATTCTTCAAAAAGATTCTTTGAAATAATTTAATTTCTTTATGTAAATATGCTATATTTATTTTACTTTATATTAAATATCAATAAATTTAACACATGTATTTCTTCAATTTACGCTTATAATACCTCCAAATAAATACTCATATAATGATTAAATGAGCCACATAGAGACATTGTTTGTTCAATAATAAATTTAAAGTTTTTTACACATTTAATAAAAAAAAAACCAATTAGCCTGCAGTTTATCCAAGATCGGCTCTCTGCCACCTCATTTATCTGCAGGAAATATTTTTTGTTTTCAAAATCTGTCCCGTAAGGTCGGATGGCATGTCCTTCGATATATCCGTTGGAAAGTCTTAAATTTTAATGGCGTGTGCTCCATTCTATCCAAGGCTGGAACAAGTGCGAACAATCGTACTTACCCATCTTGCTCATTAATTCAACCATACATTCCTAATTCGATGTGAGCCCTTATAGGCGTGTAAAAGGCGTTTCGCCTTCTTTTTTAAAGCCCGTTGAAAAGAAGCTTATAATTTATGCGCTAAATAAAGGGAGCACGCCGCGGGTCCCACTCGCAGAATTTTGAATTTGTTTCTGTTGACGCAAACCCTAGAGTGGTTTCCTTCCAAGGTAGCGCTTTTATCTATTCGCACTTGCATTTTACTTTATATTAAATATCAATAAATTTAACACATGTATTTCTTCAATTTACGCTTATAATACCTCCAAATAAATACTCATATAATGATTAAATGAGCCACATAGAGACATTGTTTGTTCAATAATAAATTTAAAGTTTTTTACACATTTAATAAAAAAAAAACCAATTAGCCTGCAGTTTATCCAAGGTCGGCTCTCTGCCACCTCATTTATCTGCAGGAAATATTTTTTGTTTTCAAAATCTGTCCCGTAAGGTCGGATGGCATGTCCTTCGATATATCCGTTGGAAAGTCTTAAATTTTAATGGCGTGTGCTCCATTCTATCCAAGGCTGGAACAAGTGCGAACAATCGTACTTACCCATCTTGCTCATTAATTCAACCATACATTCCTAATTCGATGTGAGCCCTTATAGGCAATAACACATGAATAACACACAATAACACATGAATAACGCGCAATAACACATGAATAACACATGAGAGAATATTCCCCGTGTTACTGCGCCGTTTTTTTTGCTCTACCGCGCGAGATGTCGTGGCGTGTTTTGATTAGCTACGCACGTTATTTTTACGTGCGTAGTACTGATGTAATATCTGCGTGCGGAGGCCTCCCCCAACGGGTGGAATTATTGTCTCTATCTGCGGAGGCCTCGCTATCTATTTCTGCAACTTTTTTTGAAATTTGTGCAGGGTTCGATTTCCGGAAACTTCATATGAGGAGAATTTTGTGTTTCCAATGGAGTTTTCCAGGGATCGCAGACGAGTGGGCGGGGCTTCTTTGACCAGCGGACTTCGTGACGAAGATTGAGAGAGTAAATTTTGGATTTCGACTTCCAAATGATGCTTTTTGCAGAGGCGATGAGTTCTGCAAGCACCCGGAGCTCATTGGAGATGATGCTGGACACAATCAGAAGGAAGGATGAACAACAGAAGGATTTGCTTCCGGCATTACCGACCCGGCCGACCTCCAGAGGCCGTCTGCCGTCTTCCAGGAGGTCATTGCTTGTTAGTGCTGCCCTAAAAAGTAACAGGCAGGAGGTGAATCTGTGTTCGCCTGAGAGAAGAGTTGAAGTGAAGGAGAAGGGTGATCGGAACGTTGAGACCTTTGAATGCGTGGAGAAGTCTCACGCTATGAAGATGCTCGGCCTAGAGAGCTATGGGGAAAGACGGGATGCAGAAGGCCCTGTGGACCGCAAATGCACATCTTCCTCGTTGGCCATTAACCTGGCTGGCCAATTTAAGTTCGGTGGAGCAATTGATTATTTCTCAAACAAGGTAGTCAAGCTCGTAAAAAATATTGGTTAGCTTCTCTTGGTTCGTTTTCTCAGCACATAAATTCTATATTTCATATCTTTCTGTTTGCATAATTCGAAAGTTGAGAGCAGTTTTATAGGGTTTATATATGGTTGAGGGTGTGCCACACCCTATTTTGACCTCCTCTCAAGCAAGCATGAAGCATAAGTCGGAGGTATTTCTTATCAGTTCCAATCTTGAATTCATTAATGGAGTTGAGTGAGTAGAAAAATTAGCATGTATAGATATTTTCGTTATATTTATTAATTAATATAAAACACTCATAATTTAAGTTATTAAAATGAATTGCATATTTTCTTATTAAAATTTATGGAAAATTTCTGTGTACTAGATGTAGTTTTTTCTATACATTATAGACATTTTTCCTTTTAACATACAACTAAAATTTTAGGTGGAAGCTTACGGATACAATTAGAATAGGGATTACCCGTTTATAATCTCACTTGCTTGCTTTTTAACCTAAAATAATAATTTTGTGATATTTGATGAGCAAAAAGCTAACTAGGACAAATAATTTCATATCATTTTCATTAGATATTTACAGTATTTTAACTATTTTATGGACATATTATGACTAACCTACAATAATAAACATATAAGGTATAGCTTGACATATAAAATTTAGCATTTAGATGTTTAATCATGCATCGTAAATTGTTAAGGAATCATGAGATTCAAATTCTATAAACTTAAAATGTTTTTATCTTAAAAATATTAAGCAAGTGCAAAGTAAGAGGCTTCTTGACTGCGATGTTTCTCTTTAATATGCTTGATATGAATAAATTTCATAAGCATACACATAATTGATCAATGCAATCATAAAACTGCAAAACATTAGGCTTATGAATAGCTTTTTATATCAAAGATGTGTATTTCACACAAATCTTGTGTTAACCTCGTGACGAATCTTCTCACACCTATCACACAGGAACCTTCATATTTTTTATATGATATATTAAAATCATCAAATTCTTCATTAGAAAGCAATTTTTAACTTAATAACACACTTCAACATCAAATTACTATCTTTACCTTGAAATGATTTTCCTTCAATAAAACCTTTAAGCTTCTCTATCCAAAAAATTGAATTCCATTTATGTATGAAAAAGCTAAAATTTGAATTTCTAACCTCATACTCTAGCCTCCCATTGCCTTCCCTTATTCTTCTTTCTTTTTTTTTTGGCTTTAAGCGCTACTCGAGATCTTTTCTACTTATAGGTTATGGGATATGCAAAAAAGATAATGTATTGTATTATATTAGATTGTTAATTATATAAGTAATTTCTATATAACATAACTTAAATTTTTTTTTTCAATTGAGAACTATCTCAACTATTGAAAGCATCCATCATTTTGTACGAAGAAAGTAGAAAATATAAGTTTTGCTACTTATACCTATGAATAGTAAATTAAATCATATGACCAATAAAACTATTAAGATTTAAGTTAAATAATCGAACAATTTTATTGTTTTTTTTTAAATTTTTATACTTTTATATACTTTTGCATATTAAAATAGTCTAAATAAAATATAGAGTTTGATAAAATTAGTTTGAATCATTCTCGAAATGTGTGAAAAGTGAGCTTAAAGTTCAAATGAAATATTTATTCCTATCTTTGTGAAATGTTTATTTTTTGCAGAATATGTCTTCCAACTTTGTAGTATTTTTATTTAATGAAGAAATTGATGCAATGCACAAGGCAGAATTCTATAGCAATAATGCCTCTTCTTAATGCCTTTGTGTAAGTTTTACATTTGGAGGGTCAAAAAATTTTAACTTATTTACATGTACCTAATTTTTTATTAATAAATTTATAGATAATTATGTGCATGCATGTGTATTTCAACAACATATTTTTTGAGTTATCATAGCAATTTGGCCTTGCAATAAAAATTCTCATTCATACATTCCATGAGATCAGTAATTGTTAGTTTGGCTATTATTGGTGGTGAATATTGTCGGTTTACTAGGTATTGTTCATGTGAATACTACTATTAGTGTAGTTATTGCTAACAGAGTAATTACCGCATGGAAATTTTTTTGAGGGATTTGATATATGTGGTGAGGGTTTGGTTTTTTATGGGTGAAATGAATATTTCTTTTCAAGATCTTTGTCAGTTGTGGATGCATCTAAAATGCATGAGAACATTCAACCATATATCACATTTCACAGATCAATCACTATCATTTCTCTCTTTTCCTCCTTTCCTTATTTTATTGCAATTTTGGCGCTTTAAATTTGTTTTAATCTACTAATAAATAGTTTAAAATATGAAAAATTACTAGGATTTTTGTTCTAAAGCATTACTATTTGTCACAATTCACTATATAATGCTATTTCATATAATGGTTTTTGTTGGAATCAAATTTATAACCAAAATTCTCAAATTTGGATGGATTTCCTTGAGATGAAGGCTTAGTTTATGTTCTTAATCATAACCAGTTATTTATATGACAATATAACACCTAAGTTCAAAAATATTTAACTTAAACTATGTTTATTTATTATTAATTGGATTTTAATGTTCACTTATGTTTCTATCATTCCATCACCTAAATAGCAAATTTTATACCCATGTTGAAGTTAATTAACTTTCTTAGTTGTATTTTTAGATTATCCTACATTAGATTTGATCAGAGATGGTTATAAGCATGCTACTATACATGGAGCTATATATAGTACTTGGATGATCTACCATGGGAGAGATGATGTCTTTCTTAATTTGTTCGACCTTGTTGAGTTGATCAACCATGATAATCAAGCTTTTTGTAGGAATCTTTTTTTTTTTAGTGCGAGTGAGAGTGAGAACTAATGTGCTATTTAATGTGGCTTTTGATAGGTTAATCTCTTTAGGTCACCAATTGAATTATATTATAAATCACACTAATAATGCTGATCAAATTCATGATTTTCTACTACATACTAATGCTAATCCTATTGCGATTCCACCTTTCACTAATCTTGATGTCTTGTCTTGAGTGAAAATGATTTTGATGATCCTAAAAGTTTAGTTGACTTTACAAAGCACCTTGTTCCTCTAGTGAGATGCCAATACACTAGGGACCCAGATGGCGTTCTTTGACAAGGCATAATTATGATTATAACGTTCGTGAAGGTAGTCAGTGCAAAGATAGATCATCCAAAGCTCTTTCTATGGACACCAACAGAGCGACTCTTTGCTTGCCTAACTGTCCTCACAATGCATGTGATTCTCCTTAGTTCAAATAACATAAATTTGAGGTTGATACCACTAGTGAAGTTAAGATTTATGAAGTTCCCCAAAGCCTTGCTTGATTGGTTGACTCAAATGGAGCATAACGTTGTTGCTATGACATTTCTACTAACAAGACTAGGTTTTTCAAAATGAAGTTGTTGGGGAACGCTAAAATTTATTGGACTAGCGTAGAGTGTAAGCATCTTTACCAAGGCTATGATCTAGACTTAATGTGAAATGGGATGAAAGAGATTTTGTATAGAGGTACTTATCTTATATTTGGATCATATGGCGGGTGACTATTATCTTTATGCTTCAGATGTATTTATGGTGGTCAAATGTATAACGTGCTTTGGTGAGCCGATTATGCGACCCGATATATGATTGATCAAGTTTTGAGCCAAATTATAATTTGAGATTAAGTGGAAGATTTTGGCTCCTCAAGTCCATACCTTAGAGAAAATGCTCTATCGTGCCCTTGATGTCAAATGATGCCTTAGGATCCTTGTTGTTTGTAGGGTTAGTCCCTAAGTTAGGGAGAACGATACTAGAGTTCTCAGGTTTATCTTGTACACCATTAGTGCTAATGGAACTATTACTCCTATTGGTAAGGAAAGGGTTAACCCTAACCTAACATAACCTAACTTCATAGATGGGGTAAGATGAAAAAAAAGCTATCTGCTATAGGTGCGGGGAACTCAGTCTAACTCGGATCAACGTAGTTTAACCTGGTTTGGTCCCAAGTTAACCTAACTTGGTTTAAATTAGCTTACCTGGAGTTAATCTAAATCAAGTAAGAGTAGTTTGACCCTAATCAAACTAAGTTAGCCTAGGCAAATCCTTCTAAACTTTGGCGAACCTAAACAAGTTTGAAGATAATCCGAGGGAAAACAGCCTAACTCAGGTTAACTCGGAAGTCCTAGAGAATTTTTTCGGATCAGTCCAACCTAACTTGGGCTAATCCGAACTCAAGTTAACTTTGATTGGAGGCTATGGAGTGTTCGACTTCTCACAAGAGAACGCAAGCACACGTAACTTTAGTAAAGGGGCAATTTTGGGCCAAGGTACAAACCAACCTTATGGAATCGATATAAAATTTACCCTAAAAACCACAAAAACTTATACTTGAACTCAAAAATGCACCTGATTTGAGAAGGTATTTTAGAGGAGGCAACTCATGACTGCTAACAAAATCTTTCAGTTACCCTTATGACTAATCAAATCACAAACTCCAGCGACCCCGGGATGACAAAACAATGAGAACTTGACCTAGTCATTCCAAGCAACAAAAATAAAACACAAAACGACAAAATAAAAGAATTAATCTTCTGAGAAGTCTTAAGTAGACTAAAATTTTTTAACCCTAAAATTTGAGAAAGACATTAAAACTTAAATGAAACACTCATGAACAAAAAGTCATCGAACTCAAATTGAACCCTGATACCCGGGTCTACGAGGATCTCTTGGATGATGCAACCCATGGTTGCTGACAGGATTCTTAACAAAAAATTAGTAAAATGGGCATATTATTATCAGGGACTTTCAAACTAAATATAGAATCTGAAGAAACCTGAGAAATAATGCATGGTTAAGCGCAACTTAACTATAAATGTTCGACATCACAAATTGTTTTAACTTTCTAATAGGCTAGATTAGGAGTAAACAAAGTTTAGAAAGTTAACAACTTGTATGTATGATAAGCACGAAAAACATTATGGGAAAATCACAAGCAAGAAAACAATGG